ATAAAATGCGTTTGCGTTGCAATGCTTTAAGCGCTGCGGATTAAAACTTGTAGTTGCATTGCCGCATCATATCAAACTAACCCAGTAGCCTAATGCCCGAGATATGTATGTATGTTGGATTATGTTGGTACTGACAGAAGATTTACTTTTTAACAGTTGGTTTGCCACAGTATTTGCTTTGTCTTGTTTTGGCCAATTCATGCAACCTTGTCATATGACGTTGGCTGGGGGGATTGTTCTTTTCTCCCATTGTGTGTCGTAAAATTCAATAAATCGTCTTTTATTGCCAACTTTCAAATAGTGGCAATAAAGGAATTATGAATTATAACGTGCAAGTAAATAAATAAAACTAAAAAACAAGCACACAAAAGATGAAAATGAATGTAAAAGGTAGGCAGTTCCAGACAGTGCGTGGACAACCTCACGTTTTTTTGGTTTTGCGTTTTGTTTCTTCATTCATTCCAATTTGAAAGTCATTGGAGATGAAACACAAAACACCACAAATATGTTTAAACTATGTCAATGAATGCTTACGGGCCTTTACAATATTTTACATATCCAAAAAAATTTTGCGCGGCCCATACACATGCGAGCGAGAGAGAATCAGCCACCATTAAATAAAGCCATAATTTTAAACACGAGCCGTTTTGTTCGTTACTCATTACTGTTTAACATTCATCATTTCGCGGTCCACCGGTACGAAATATTTTTTTTTTCCTTGGGGATTTTCATTGGTATTTCAAAAATTGCGGCTAAATTATGGCCTAACCAGAAAATATCATTAATCATATCAAACAGCTTTTATAACACCTCATATTTTACAATACAAAAATGTTTTTTTAAATTTATGTACATTGTCTAAAAATATCAACAATTTTGTATTTTACTTCGTATATCTGGGAGAATAAGAGGTAAAAATGTGATTTGCATATCCAAAAATATGAAAATTTGTAAAAGAAAAAATATTGTCACTAGAACAAGAACTGTAAAAATAAGGAAATGATTCGTCTATTTTTAAAGGAACCAGTTTTGAAGCTGTTACTTATAAACGGAATATTAAATAGTTTCTATCACTCTGTTAATTTTGCCAATAAGAGAAAATCTTTAACATGTAATACTAGAAGCTCCACCTACTGCCCAATAACCCCATCTTCTGATTTTAATTTTAATGATTCTGAAATCAATGAACACTATTGTGAATATGTATTAATGTAAACAATCAACAGCTGATCGAAGAATCCCATGCGTGTTTCCTTGTATGACATTTGTCTAGCATACTTGTGACTACAAAAACATCAGCAATTTTATAACATTTTATCAACGTTTCAATTCCATTGCTCATTCAAAACTCCTTCACAAGTATTACGAAATAAAAACAGTCTCAACACCAACATGATTCACACAGCCCATTATCTTCAAGAACATTCGAAAGAAAAACCTTACAACACTGAATGCTTACCACTTATCATTATCGGTTTTTATCGATCTGCAAGTAATAATTCAATCAAATTAACAGAAGTCAATTTGGTGGCTCATGTTACACGGTGTTTGCAAGCCGCCAAAAAGAAAAAGAGCAGACCAAGGAGAAGCAAGACAGAAACAACAACAACAAGAAACAGTAATGCACAGCGACAACATGATCAATGTTTAAAGATAGCCAATAAAACGTTTAAGGATGCGATGATAAAGAAGAAGAAGAAAAAGCAAAAATATTTAAAGAAAATTTATGGCAAACATAAACGCCTTTTGTTTTTTCATACTTTATTTCAAAAGAAATTGTGCAAAAGACTGGCATACGGTTGCAGGTATTAATTTGGTGGGAGGTAAACAATGTATAAAGCATATAAAACATATAGGAAGTCAATTTGAGAATACTACGAAATGGGTTACCGTTATTAGCAAACAAAAAGATGATTGTATAGATTCCATTGAAGTTCTGCATAGAGAGAGGATCAATATCCCACAAGTTCAACTACACACCTCTCAAAGCGAAACATATGATCTTATGAATACATGTTCCCAAATGTCAAAAAGCCAAAAATCTCATGTGAGATATGATATACCACCACACTTTAGCAAAAATGTGGTACTCAATGAAATGTGTTGTGTGTTCTGCTTCTACTTCTCACATATCACAGAGAATAAATATTTTTTTGTTGGGGAGGAAAAAATATGAAGAAGCTTTATCTGTCGGCAAGGCCCATCATCAAGATCATCTTCATTGTCATAATAACAAATGTGATCTCCGTCACTATCGGCGGCGTCGCACATCATTAAGCTTTTGTGCTTATGAATGATTGACAACTTCACCAAAAACAACAAAGAAGGCGAAAAGAAATGTGAGGAGGAGGAGGGTGGGTGAGGTAAAGTCGTGAATAGCAAATACAAAATAATTTTTTTGCTTTTTTCGAAATAAAAATAAATTGATTTGAAATATTTTAAATGAGTTTTGTCCGTAGTGTGTTTTATTGGAATATATTTGGAAATGTGACTAAGAATGTTTTTTTTTTCTGTGTGTTTTGCCAAACATGAAATATTGATATTCATTCAGATCGATTTAACCCAAATTTGTTTGACATAAATGATTTAATTTCAATTTGCCATTTGTCTCATCTTGTGCGTACATTAGTAAGATGCAACATAATTGCAAATTAATCGCACAGGCATCAGCTGATTGGAATTCATATTATTTAAATGTATTTCTAAATTAATACTAATTGCACTCTATTCATTAGAAATGTCTATGTAATGAAACCCCTGTATATGTAAATTGGGTTTCAATTGTCAATTCCTTTGCATATATGTCAAATAAATCCACATAAAGTATGTTAAAGGTCGTTTACATTTAACCGGATTTGGTTAACCCAGTGGGTTTAAATTTTCAATTCCTTTGAATATATGCCAAATAAATCCTCATAAAGTAGGTTAACCCGGTAAACAGTTCTAATGTAAATGCCGTATTCGGTAAAAATAATGTACCACATTTTAGAAATCGAGTCGATTTAGAAGGCATAGTCCAAACGCACCTTACGCATCGTCGTGTTCTTTCTATGAAAATTAACTTGGATACTTGTGATTTTAAAAACATTCGAATATCATTGCTTTCAAATCTCCTTTACAAGTATTGCGAAATTAAAACAAGCTAAACACCTACATTATTCACACTAACTATGTCACCAGTTCCATTTTGTGAATCCTGCAGTTGAACTAGTTTGTTCGTGTTTTAGCATTTATTTACACTTGGCAGTTTAATGTAAATTAAATTAATTATGATGATAGAGTTGAAAAGAAAATCAAATAATTAAAATCTTTCACATAAAAACTTAGATTTTGGTTACACTACATTTACGTCATACTTATTATAACAAAACTAGTATTTTATATTGTCAGTCTCCGTGGATTAGTTTGTGTTTTATCCCTTTTTCGTCTCACCATATAATGCAGAATTCCATCTATAATAACTGCCTAGTGTATTGTTGGTGAGACGAATTAGAGAATGAACAACCACAGACCTTTATAAACTTCAATTTTGGTTTGTCTTCGTTTTAATAAAACGCGTAATTTAGGTTGTCACTTCCTTGTGAATTTAGACCAATGACGTACGAAGAGAGCTTTTTAAAATAATTTATTCTCCACTCTTTTGCCTTCTAATATATTTTGTGATTTTGCGAAATATATGTAAAATTAAGAAACAAAAATATCTCTCAAAATATTTTCATTGATAAAAAAAAACAAAATTCTCTTGTGAAATTTTTGAAAAGTGAAAAGAAGCTTGTCGATCATTTGCCGTGGAAACAAATGAATCCAATAAATTTGATTTATATTTATTGATATACATATACACAACTATCACTAGATGTCGCCATAACAGTACCTAACTATAATTCATGTTTATTGCAGACATGAGGAACCAGAAGCAGATGAGAATAGTTTTCAAATATTCCATTTCATATACAGAATATTTCATTTTAGCAAAATATGAACATATTTTCCCAAAGTGACATTAAGTATGATTATCTGTTTTTTTTTATTTTTTGTTTTTGCGGAAAATTGTTGTTGGGCAAACGTTCTGAACGAACGAAAAATAATATTCTGAAATGTGAAAAACTTAAAAAAAGATTATTTATACAGAAAGATTTGTCGCTAGAGAACATTTAAATGACGGAGGCTATTTTTTCGCGTTTACCGAAATTCTAAAAACGAAAAGAATCAACGCCCACGTGATAAATGACATCCTAAATTAACTTTTCGTAATTTTTGTTTGTCTGTTTTGGTTTCGTGCGAAAAAAACAAATTTCACGTAGACCCAAAGACACAGGCGTGAAATGTTTGAAATAAAAGGTTTGTTGAAAAACATTTTCCCCTTGGTGATACTAAAAAAATGTAAAACTTGTCGAATATGTTAATTATACCAGAAAATTTTATATTTTAATTCAATTTAAAAATTGCCTATGTTTTGAATAAATTTATATATATGTTTGTTTAAATAGGAAAGAAATCAATTGATCTGTGCTGCTTTGAAAGGTGTGTCACCACAATCATAATTTAATTAATTTCTTAATCATATTCAAAAAAATAACAACAACAATATGCAGAGCCTATAAATATTTGTCTGGTATTTCTGGTTCCGTGGGTCAGATTGTTAGGTTATTTTATTATATATTTTATGATTACTAAATTATTAACTGCCAATTAATGATACAAATTTGTGTTTTTAGGTTATGTGGTATAGGGAAAAAACAAGAGAAATATTTACTAAAAAAATTCCAGAAATACTTAAAAATGCTATTTTATCAGCTGTTTGGTTGGCAATAAGTGTGGTCACCGACAAGCTATGAATATGACTAGACTTGATGTCAGCTGATATATGATTAAGGTCGTTTTACAAAAAAGCTCTCTGTTTTTATTAAAACCCCATAAAATCTTTTTTTTTTAATATCCAAACATTTTGTTTTGTTGAACTAAATACCATAAAAATTTAATTGAATAACACTACTTACTGTATTCACTTTGATCATCTGGCGTTCCATTGACCGTACCATCTGGCAACAGCTGTAAGAAGCGATTTTTTATATACAATTGTATTTTACGTGATGGACCCGATAGATGAGACACCGTCGAACGTTCATTGCGATCCAAATTATATTTATTATGTAGATTTCTAGAATTATTCAGTCTTTTGGTTTTCATGCCACCCATATCGGATGAACGTCGCACAAGACCAACACCGCCAGAGCCGATGCCACGACCACTGACGACGCCGCCGCCCATTGATGAATGTGATGTTGAAGGACCACCACTTGTATTGTATTTGGCATTTATTGTCATCGACGATGCTGATGATGCTGCGGCCGCTGAGGCGGCAGATGATGATGACGAACGTATGCTACGTTCCGTTCTGGACAAAATGGCCAGATTATGTGACGCAGAGAACTGAAATGTGGAACGTATATCGGTGGCTGGGGCCTCCGTTTCGTTTTCTTTGGTAAGGTGGATGACATTATCGTTATCGATAACTGTGCTGGGCATTAATGTCGATTGTATTTGGGCTGATGATTCGGTGGTGGTCGTGATAATTGATGGGAATGACGTTATTTCGCTTGTGGGGGTGTTGGTTGTCCATGAGTCCATGATATGAGTATTTGTTGATGATGACACGCCTTCTGTTGCGACTTCTTGTGGACTTTGTACATTATCCGTTACATTATCCACTGATGCATTTACTGTTGTTGTTTTTGTTGTACGATCAATATCGTTTTCACTAATACTATTTAGATTCTCGTTTTCCTGCTCCTTCTCACTCATCATCTCTGGACGATGATGATGATGTCGTTCCGTTTGCATTTCCAACGTTTCCATTGTGGAAACGGAAATATCTGCTTCCGCTTCTTCCTCTACTACTAACGGCTGTGGGGTTGTCGTTCGTTGTATTTCTTGTAAATCACTAAATGGTCGATTTGACTCATCGACTGTAAATTCGTCCTTTACACTACGCTGAACATGCATCTCTGTGTCGGCATGCTCGTAAGGATTTAAGACATTTAAGATTTTATCGTTTTTAATTACATTTATGGTGTCCGACGCTGGTGCAGCCATGGCCAAAGGTGGCAAAATTGTTGGCATCGCATACATTAAGCCCGGCCAATCGATAATAATCGAGAGGAGGGCACCCAACAGTGCCAGGGCCCTCCAGTCTAAACGCAGATTTCTTCGCATTTGTATAGGCTAATGGTGGTGAATGGATAATGACAGCAGCGTTTTGTAGGCAATTTTTTTACGCGCCGCCGCTGTTGTTGCTGAAGCGATTTGCTGATTGTCGTGGTCGTCAACCTTGTTGTTGTGGTTGTCGTTATGCGTTATACGCCCCAACAAGTTGGTTTTATTTAATTGTTCGTTAACAATAAACCGAACGTAAACAACAATGCAACACTGTAGGCCTAGTCACACACTACCTGTTGCCTTTGTTGTTGTTGTGGTTGTTGCTGTCGTTAAATTTGCCACTAGACCACGTAACTCCTCCTGGTTAATTGTGCGAAATCGAAATTGTTAAATAATTTAATTTAAAACTTGTTTTCTTTTAAATATTTTTTTTCTTTCAATATTTTTTTCTGTTTGACTTGAATTATGATTAAATTGGCTTTTTTCAATTTTTCTTTGACACTTCGTTTTTTTTTATAAATTAAATCGCGGGTTTAATTCACTTGAATGTATTTTTTCTGAGGTTTATTTTTTTGTTTCTTTATTTATTTCTTTTGTTATCACTATTCTGACAGCTGACATTTAGGTTACCATATTTTGGGCATATCTTTTGTACATCACCAAAGTTTCACAGTTGAGTTTGATAAATCGTTTATGATTTTCATCTTCGTCTTCCTCTTTGATAATGCATTTTTCAAATTCAACTGTCGTTTTCATTTTACGGTACATTTGAACAGCACGAGCGTGACCGTAACTGACGGTTACTACTAAGGCGTTCCGATGTTAGCTACCGCTTATTTATTTTTCCCCTCTCCTTTGGTTAGGTTATTTTCTTTCGTGCTCTTGTCGTTTTAGAAAGTGATCACTGAATTAATATTTTGCACAAAAAGATTTTCATTAAACCGTGATGATTTTTTGTTTGTAATCATAGTCTTCTTCCCCGCAGTGAAGGTCGTCGTTTTGAGTAGCTGTAATGAAAAAGAGAAGAAGAAGAAAGATTGTATTAAAAAACCGGTCAAAATTAATCATAAAAAATATATGGTAATACATTTAAAAAGATTAAAAAGAGATAATACAGGCAGCCTACAAAATTATTTTAGCCAAGGAAGATTTACACGTGATATGTCACCTTAATTACATCACAAAATACATGTTAAGACTTCACTTAAATAATATCTTAAAATACCGATAAATTGCCGCTGACAATGTCAACTGGGATCTTGTCTTGGTATTTTTTTGGCATTGTTCAAATAAAACATGTTTTCATTGAAACACGAAGATTTTAATTCGTATAGGCAGTGATAAATGGTTTGTCAATGGTTTCCGCTACGCCTTGTTTTTAAGACGGACCAAAAAAGTCGACCATAATCAAGTTTACAAAAAAAGCAGCCCTTCTAGTCACAGGTGGAAAATATTGATAATTACCAGACAATTATAATGAGTTAAAATACGCGTCTGCCTTAAAGGCGATCATTAATGGAGGAAATATCTATTAATAATTTTGAGCATATTTAAATGGGCCTTTATGAGGTGCTTAATGTGAGCCGTTTTATTAGTGTGCGATCTCTTTGATAAAATTTGAAATGTTTTTTTTTATTATTAAATTAATTCAACCTACACATTTTCCTACGCATCAACGGAAGCGAAATTAGATACCTCATTTAGCTATCATTAGTTATAATTATGTGTAAATGATAGCAGATTAATATGATTTACAAAATCTTTGATATATAAACAGGATTTACAAAAACATGAAATTATGACAGACAGCTGTGAACAATGAATTCCTATCTATGTGGGTTCAATCTAATGTACGCAGTTTTGTTTGTGTAAATATGTAAGTAAAGATCAGCTGACTGGTGCATAAAATTATTTTATAGACGAGATGAATGGTTTATATTTATTATAAGATTTCATGAATAGAAAATATTTAAATTAAGCGATGGTATATTTTATATTTAAAACCAAAATTGAAAGTTATTCTAATACACATTGTTTAAGACTAAGGATACATTTACACACAAAACGCTTGTCCTGAGATGTTGATGAATTAAAAAAAAATTAGTCAAAAAGCTTTGTTTCCATAAAACATTTTTATACAACCTTTTAAAGTATAAATTGCTAATTGAAATTTTTAATTTATTATTTATTTTATTATAGATACCCTATTATTTAAAATGTAAGTATCAATGAAAAATTGGCAGTATATTCAGACCTGTTCTGTAATCGATAATCCATAATTTTAATATAAATTTTAAAAAATGTTTAAAAAGAAGATATATCAGATCAACCTTTAGCTAATATTTAAGTAGAAATGGGTTATAATAAGTTTATTTAAACGAATATAAATTTGAAATGTTTCTTAAAAGTGGATTTGATAGTAAAATTATAAGGATTAATAATTTGATTTTTAATAATTTGATTTTGATTTTCGATCATGATTCTTTTTATTAAGATACGTGGTAACATCGGCAGAGGTGTATAATGAAAATCATTAGGAGCGTTTAGATTTACGAAATCCACTCGATCTGAAATGTCACTCCCATACCGTAACAAATATAATCCATTGGATTTGTGAACACGCTATATGTATTCGCTATGGAATTGACATTTGATATCGATTGGATTTAGTAGTATAAACTTGCTCATATATTCAATATCCAACTTTCGTGAATTAGAGATTAAATTAGAGTTGTATTCGTGGCAAAATATCGCATGTAAACCTCAGGTTAATACACCATTGAATATAAACTCTGATAATTTCATTTTAATTCTCATAACATTACTGTTTATAGAGCTACCAGGTCACACTTCAATTTGCATTTAAATATAAACTCTGATAATTTCATTATAATTCTCATAATTTTACTGTCTACCTAGAGATACCAGGCCACACGTAAATTTGCCTGTATGTTTCTATTAAAATTTTAATTTGTATAGAACGGCATTTACATTAGAACTTTTTTACCGGGTTAACCTACTTTATGAAGATTTATTTAATTGAAAAGTTAAACCCACTAGGTTAATGAAATCCGTTACAATGTAAACGTACTATAGGTATAGTAATCATTAATGTTTGGAGACAATTAATTACTGTTTTGTTTTAATGGTTTTAGATATTATGAAATCCCTTAATATTAGTTTGTTTTTAGGCGGGTCACATGTTTATTATTTAAACAGCTGTTTTGGCATACAAATTCATTTTAACAGATTTATCTTTCAAATGTAGCAGCTTTTGAATTAGAATATTCAAGAAAAATGCTTATAGATTTTAACAAAAAAAATATGTGTTTGCCCAATTACAAAAATAATTTAAATTAAGACATTTTGCCAACAACTTAAGTCAGTTTTAATAAAAAAAAAATACTATTAATATTTTATTAGGAACTAGACTTTGAAAAACCACATGGTAAATATTTGACTTTAAACATTACCAAACAAATTTACAATAAATTTAAATTCTTGAAATTAATTACTATTAAAAAACTTTGACAAATAAAACCATTTGTTTAATTATTTGTTTTAATTGTTTGAATGAAAACACTTGCCAATTAAAAGAACGGCTAAATTGAAACAAAAAAAAAACTATACAAGTTTTAAAAACTGTCACCATGCCATAGATTGTTGACGATGACAGTGAAATAATAACGTAAAAAATATTAAATCAAATGCCATGGCTTAATTGAGGAGAAGACAACACAATTAAGAAAATCTAAAAAATAAAATTCTAAGATAAAAATTCCTAAGGAATTTATTTATAAATTTATGTACATACATATATGAATTTATTTCCGTTTTATTTTTTGCTTTCAATATTTTTTATTTTATTTACTAATTTATGTTGTAAATTCACCCATCATCACAGTTGTCTGATGGTGCATAGCCACCACCCAAGGCACACAGATTTTACAGTCATGGGAACTTAATTAAGGAAATATGCATCAACAACAACAACATGAACAGAAAAAATTGCAAAAAACGAAACATTTTTTTAAAATTAAGAATAAAAAACACAATATCTAAAAATAATTGAAATTACGAGAATTAAAAAAAAACTACCGACCGACACTCACACACTAGCTAAACATGCGTTTATTATGCAACGATGCGGCACAAAAGACAAAACAAGTTTGTCCCAAAAAACAAAGCGTTTGCACGCAAACCTTTACATAGAGTGTTTATTTTCTATATAGACAGAGCGACGAGGGAGGAGTTGAGAGGTTTCGAAATGATAATTGACAGTTTAGTATAGGTGATTTCCAATACACGATTTGGTTAGTGAAGGGAATGACGAAAAATTGTGATCGTGTAAACATGGGTTTAGTTAGGGTTGCAAAGATCGCATTCGCATGGCACAATAAATAGGTAGTCCATTTAGCGCAGCTGACTATTCGATTACATGTCAAAGTCCGTAGTTTCTACTTGAATTCGAGTTCAATGTTGCCAACCATAACAAAAAAGTGGTGCCAAAAAATTAACTTGCATTACCAAATAAACAATAATGAGTCTCAATTTAATTTGCAATTTTTTCTGGAATCTCTTTCTCCCCCTTAGAGGCGTGTAATATTTCCGCAAGGGAAATTAATGTCAAAATATAGACTCAATTAAAAAATTTGTCATGTACAACAAGTGGCAGATGACAAGCATATCTAGTCTATATATATTTTTTTGTGCCAGCCACAAATCACATGGCCAAGTAGAGGTGGTTTTCCCATAATACCACCATTAGCATTCAAAAAGGGGACCAGGGAAAGGGAAATTCTCACATCATACACAAAATATTATCATTGATGAAAACATTGGGCCATTACTACATACCGGTCGGGCTAAGACGACACATGGTCGCCGGCAAAAAAGTCCGTATTTTATTTTTATTATCGTTTGTTACACTTTTTCAATTTAATTTGGTTTTGTTGAGATATTGCCAAAAAACAAATTTTCCTCGAAAGCAAAAAAAAAAAAACAGCAACAAAAATTTGCACAATTAGATAAACCCAAAAATATGTAAAAGCAACAAATATGTAAAAGCAACAACAAGGGACACCTTTATACGGC